ACGTAGTTACTCCCTATAGCTCTAGCCTAGTCAACCCGAGTACGATGTATAAGCCTCGATTAAAGACGAAGAAGACGAAATCGAAGCTAACTCTAAAGAAGCCGACTGCGAAGAAGAGAAAGAAGACTCCCGCGTCCTTAAGCGAAGACGAGAGCTCAGATGATCCCGATAACCCTAGCGCTTAAACGGGTACTTAAACCGGTACTAGTAGCTAGATAGACGCCAACAATCAAGATCCTCCTAGTACCGATTAGGATAATAGCGACACCGGTAGCCAGACAGACGGGAATAATTAAGATCCTCCTAGCACCGATTAGGATAATAGCGACACCGGTAGCTAGATAGACGGGAACAATCAAGATCCTCCTAGCACCGATCAGGATAATAGCGACACCGGTAGCCAGATAGACGGGAACAATTAAAATCCTCCTAGTACCGATTAGGATAATACAGATACTAGTAGCTAGATAGACGGGAACGATTAAGATCCTCCTAGCGCCGATTAGGATAATAGGGGTTTGAACGATTCAGACGGTAAGAAGCAGGCGACTATCGTAATTTCGAGCGGTAATAAGAGCTCGGAATACGATCTAGATACTAATCCTAGCGTTTAAACTAGTTATCCTCCAGCTAATAAGGAGAATGCTTAGGACGATAATACGGTACCCCTAACGATAGAGGATAAATATCTCTAGGCTCTCCTCGATTATGTTAATACCTAAGAAGAAGAAGACGAGGAGATAGCTTCTAAGAATTCAGATTTTCCTTTTAGGTAACTAGGTATACCGCTCAGTCAAGCAGATTTTCAGTATAGCGACGAGGATATAGGTACCTAGGATTAAGATATCTCGCTTAGCTAAGACTACAATCCTTTCGATTATCCAGATTTGGAGGAGACGGGTCCTAATTCTCTCTAGGAGAGTCGACCAGATATAGAGAGAGAGGATAAAGAAGAGGAGTCGTAGTAGGAGTTTGACGAGGAGATAACAGAATTAGAGGATATAGCAAGGGCAGCGTATACGGTGGCTATAGATTAAGCGAATAATCGGGGTACGTAAGAATTCGTAGCTAGGGGAAGTATCGATAAGATACTAAGTATACTTATAGAAGAGCCTATTACCGAACGAGACAGACTAGAGACAGAAATTTCAGCTCGCTTTATCCTTAGAGCTACTTGTTTAAGGACCCTATTATTAATAAGGACGGAGCCGGCTTTCTAAGCGGCCTAGCGAAGAATAGAGATACGTAAGGCCTAGAGAGTAAGGCAGCAGTATATAGTAACCGAAAGTCGGTTTAAACACTAGATACGCGTTCTAGCTAGGCTAGAGAAGGAGATGTTGAAGCATTTACTATAAGCCTGAAATCTAAAGTAATTTGGTTTTTCTAATTTTCGTAGTCGGCAGGTATGGTCGGCAGGTATTATTAGCTATAGAAGGAGATGTCGAAGTACTTACCGTAAACTCCTGAATTAATTTGCTTTTTCCTAATTCTCGTAGTCGGCAGGTATAGTCGGCAGCTATTGTTAGCGAGTTCAGGCAGTACGGTATATACGAGGCTTATTACTGTTCTAGAAGCGCTTACTATGTTTATTCTATATCTAGAAGAGGTTTTACGTAATACCTATCGCAATACCTATTGGGTATACCTATTGGGTTTTTTCCGTTGGGTTGTACCTAGCTTATAAGCTAGGTACCTACCTTATTTGCGGGGTTAGGTATTAACGTTAGGTTGTACCCAACCTATACCTAACCTAACCTATAACGAGGCCTAAGCGTAGGATATTCTCTATATTCCTACGGCCGGAGTTAGGTATAAGCGCGATTTTAGTATCGCTCGATACTAAAGTTATTTTAATCGCTAATACTCTATATTAATATTCTCTAAACTAATAGTATCCCGTTTCCGCTACTACGACAATAAGTACAATACTAGAGTTCTTATCGCCTACGAGGCTATAGAGGCTACTTAAGCGCTTCTTAGTACTCTAACTTTATAGGAGATCCTAAGTAAAGACCGAGAGTAGATAAAAGATCTTATAGAACGGATTAGTAACTTAGATATAATTAGCGATAATAAGGGAGATAGGGTAGAGGAGCTAAGGCGATCGGTACGCCTAAGCTTCAAGCTTACGTAAGAGTGCCTCCGGGATACTATAAGACGATTATAGCGAGCTTGGTTTAAGCTTGTATAAAGTTTACCTACCGACTATATTTGCCGACTATAGTGCTTAAGTTTCAAAATATTACAAGCTATAATCTAGTGTATATATTCTTCTATATTTATTTATTCGATCTGACTACTCTCTTTCTCCTCTTATCTATATCGGGCTTATATATAGTTTCTTTTCTAATATCTAGTTTAAATAACTTGCTCTTAGGGCACTCGGTTTCTAGGCTTTTTCTTTCTGTTTACGAAAAATTAATACCTAATAGGTACGTAATACCTACTAGGTATCGTAATACCTACTAGGTTTGTACCTAACCCGATAGGTTAGGTATATCTAGCTAAATACCTATACCTATTAGGTATTGCTAATACCTAACCTACCCTATATACCTACTAGGGTAGGTTGTACCTATAATAAGGCCTAAAGAAACCATTCGATTTCTCGCTCTTTACTAACTCTCTTAGGATTGTAGGCCTCGTACGCGAAGCCGATATTAACCGCCGAGTACTAGAACGACTTCTGCCTAAGAATAGTAACGACAGCGACAAAGATACTTAAGATACCTACATTCGGTCCCGCTAATCTACCTACGACTCGCAATATAGCTCTATTAATAAGGTTACGAATCAAGATCTAGCCGATACGCTAGTTGACTCGCTAGTATTTAATAAAGATAACTTTATTCGGTTAGGCAGGACAGGTAGACGTATTGCGCGCGACGATAAGGATAAGTTAGTAATAGCCGGCGGCCTCGGTATAGACATATAGCAAGAGTAAGGATATAATAATAACGATTTCATTTAGTTAGACAGAAGAGGTAGACGTACTGCACGCGATAATAATAATAATAATAATAATAATAATAATAATAATAATAAGGATAACTTTATAATAGCCGGCGGCCTCGGTATAGACACGTAGCAAGAGCGAGGATATTAGGACATCCGACAATAAACGCGGAGGCATACGGCTACTATTATCTGTATTGTTCGGACAGTATAGTAAAGATAATAGTTTGATAGCGCCTACGTAGCGGACAGAGGACAGTAGTAATAAGGACACTACCGACAGTAAGCTCTGATATAACTAATAAGAGGCTAGAGAAATGCCTCTAATTGTGTCTATAAATACGGAGATAGTGCTAATCGGCTTAGAATCAAAAATCGTACTATATAAAAACTGCTAATATATGACTTTCTAATATATAGTAATCTATATCCTTACCTAACTTAATATATATTAAAACCTAAGGTTTATACTCTTACTATATATAACCTTATTAATGCCTAAGGTTTTTGCTCTTACTAAGTAAATAGTATATAGGCATAAACCTATTAGTAAGGATATAAACTAATCTATATACTGCTTTCCCGAATAACGATACCGCGCGTACGTATTACTACCTTTCTTACCTACAAACTCTTCTACCCCTACTACCGAATATATACGATATACGAAACCCTTTGCTATATACCGCCCGTATGCTAGATTTCGCGTTACCCCTATAGGAGTTTCTTTAATCCTACTAACGTACGATAACAATACCCTTCGCTTAGTAGATCCCGATGCCTACGCGCTATTATCTCGTACCTCTCGACTCGTAGAATAGTATATACCTAAGGCGGTTAGTCGTTACGCTACTACCTTAGCTCGTATAGGCCTTCTACTACCTCTGCTTAGTAAGCTTAGCGCTGTCTCTAGCTCTTCCTTATTATTAGGTATCTTGTACGGATTGAGCTATAGTATTATAGATAGCTGCTTTACAAGACGTCGGCTCGGTCGACGTAGCTACGAGGAACTAGCAACTAGAGAAGAACTAGCAACCGGAGAAGAAACAGCAACCGGAGAAGAGCTAGCAACCGGAGAAGAGCTAGGAATAGGAGAAGAGCTAGGAATAGGAGAAGAAGCGCTACTAGGCTATTCGGGTATAGTATAATACTACTCGTATTCGCTATTATTATCGATCGGCTCTAGTATCGGCTCCGCGGCTATCTTATTAATTGTATTATATATCTACTAATCGTCGTCGGCTATAATTGTCTATACTTTAATTAGTTCGGCTAATTAGAAGGTAGAGAATTGCTCTTAGTTCTACGTAAATTCGTATGTATATAGTACTAATCGACTCGGATTGATATATATATATATATACGTCGTATACCTAGAATTCGTATAATTCTAACATTTGCGTATATTTAGGTATAGTATACAATATACGCAGCGGGCATAAACCAAGTTCTAGTAGAGAAAAGATTGGCCTCTACGTTAGCAAGATTAGCCGACGTTCCGTACTACTAACGGGCCCGCCCGTAGGATATATTATTGTAGGTATCGTAGGTATCGTAGGAAAAGTCTATATAGCAAGTAAGGTCAACCGGAACTACGTTACTCCGCGCCGAGCTATAACTCACACGCTGCGCTGTGACTCATACGTGCTTAGTCATCCGGATGCCCACCACACGTGCTTAGTCACTTCCGAATCGTCCTTTCAGATCGTCCTGTCCCTTGACTCTCGCTATACAGCGGGGAAAAACGAGAGGAGCGGTCGTATAGAGAGAGATGTAAGGGCAGGGAGTTCGTTCTTCCTTGCAACGTTTCACAACAACAACAACATCAGCTAAAACAACTGCCATCTACCCACCAAAACATACATATCTATCCATCTAGATACACACAACAATCGGGGCAAACCCCCTATTCCAGAGTAAATAGATGCATTCATCAAAACCTCTCTACTCATCCGCACCAAACTTCCTTCCTTCTCAGTAAACAGAGTCATTGTCCAGCATCTAGCTCTCTATAGCTTGAACTCGATTGAGCCTCCCTCTTCCTCTTAGTTGAAGTTGGCCTCCTCGGCTATATACAAATATGTGTTAGAAGAAGAGGTCATAAAGCCAGTAGAAGGAAAGAAGAAGGGAAAGGCTTACCGTTCTCAGGAGGCGTTACAGTCCTTTCAGTAAAATACTGGCGCTTCTCAAAGTTTCTCTCTTCAGCATTCTCCGGAGGCGTGACGGTTCGTCCAGTGAAATACTGCCTTTTCTCAAAATTCTTCTCTTCAGCATTCTCAGGAGGCGTAACAGTCCGTCCAGTGAAATACTGCCGTTTCTCAAAATTCTTCTCCTCAGCATTCTCAGGAGGAGTAACAGTCCTTCCAGTAAAATACTGCCGTTTCTCAAAGTTTCTCTCCTCAGCATTCTCAGGAGGCGTCACAGTCCTTCCAGTAAAATACTGGCGCTTCTCAAAGTTTCTCTCTTCAGCATTCTCCGGAGGCGTGACGGTTCGTCCAGTGAAATACTGCCTTTTCTCAAAATTCCTCTCCTCAGCATTCTCAGGAGGCGTCACAGTCCGTCCAGTAAAATACTGTCGTTTCTCAAAATTCTTCTCCTCAGCATTCTCAGGAGGCGTAACAGTCCGTCCAGTGAAATACTGTCGTTTCTCAAAATTCCTCTCCTCAGCATTCTCAGGAGGAGTGACAGTCCGTCCAGTAAAATATTGACGAGCTTCAATCTTCGCCCCGATCGCTGCTGATAATTTTTTTTCTTCTCGTTAGTTAGGATTCTCTCATGAGGTAAAAAAAAAAAAACTTTCAACGCGTATAGGTAAGGTAAGGATTGATTCTTGGAACCACCGCAACTTACACTCTCCGGTTACGGCCTGCAATGGAGCTGCAGAGGCAATAGCGATGACGCCTGAGAGGCATATAAGCTGGGAGAAAAGCATTTTTTCTTTTTTTGATACAAAAAAGTTTTATAGCAAAAAAGTGCTTCGTTTCGATCGATCTTGCTATAGGATAGTGATTTTTTGATGGACTGAGATAAATGCGAGAACCAATGCTTCCCAAGAGAAAGAGAGAGAGAGAGAGAGAGAAAGAGAGTAGACTTATAGCTCACTTTTTCAAGTCTCTCATCAAGCTCGCGATGACACCGTCGCCGTCGCCGCCGTTAGAACGGAAGCTAGGTAAGGATGGATGACTGCCTATCTATCTAAAATGTGATTGTGTGAGCTGGACCGTGATTGTGAGGCTCGAACCGAGACACTAGAAACGAAACTGTGCCTGTACAGTAGCCATTCGTGTTCGCCGCTGGTTTTTTGGTGACGCTGTTGCGCTATGTATTGCGAGTCTCTCTTTGTCCGAGGAGGAACCGCTTCAGCACACCACCTACCTTTAACTACCGCACTGGTAGTATACCGGGGATCAACAAGCAAGCGGGTGAAACAATTACGACTAGATTTCTCTGGCCCGCGGATTTGAGGAGATGTTGATGAAAGAGGGAGAGAGAGAGAGATCTGCCAGCAGCGAAGAAAAGTGGAATTTCATTTCCGGGTTTTCGGGATGATCTCTTCATCTTCTTCTCCTTCTTCTTCTTCTTCTTCTTTGAAACACATCTCTCGCCAACAACGAGCTCTTGGATCCATCCTGTGGAGCACAATCGATTAGCACTTGCAAGAAACCGAAAAACCGAGTAAGTGGTGCGTCGGTTATCGCAGGTACGTGCAGTAGACCGTAGAAGATTGCTCGCCACTCCAGCTTTCGCATAGGCGAAGTATCGCCAAAGGGCAGCTAACAGATCGTTAGTAGCTTGGACTATTTCCAAAGCGGCTTCTTCTGAGGCGGATTGCGAGTTGGAGAATTGTTGATTGGACTTCTGGGTTACTTATTATTAAGTGCTTAAGGGGCTCGTTCGTGAGATGATGATTCTTCTGCTTCGCTGCTCTTATTAAGTAGCTGTTCGATTACTACCACTACTACTGAGAGTAGGCGGACTCTGTAACAGAGCGAATTGGCATATCTGATCTGTAAAGCCCGAGGAGAGAATAGAAGAAAGTGGTCGATCCTGCTGCGAGGTGACCTTAGCGAAGCGTCTGCAGAAAGGGGTGTTTGTGATAACATTCTACCGCAACTTAGCCCGATGCTTAATCGAATTAGATATCAGAGGCTTTGGCCCAGCTATCATCAAAGAAGGACATGTAGTCTGTAGAACTAGCTGATGACACCTTACAAGCGGGAGTTCCGAGGCGACTACCCGATTGATTATCGGGTGAATTTCGTTTCTTTAGAAAGACACATGAGAGAGCCCTAGTAAGCCTCTTTTGTGCCGAAAAAAATAGTGCTTACTGACCTCCCCCCATCACATTCGTTCTAGAGCTATACTACAAAGAGGTTTATACAATCTTTCGAAACGATTCGGTTTGCGTTGTCGTATAGCGGATAATGAAGTAGCTTCACATCAGCTACCTCGCGAAGGCAAGGGTCTTCGTATTAGGCGGCTGTTCGGATATGGTACAAGCAGCGAGGTTGCGCTAGTTCTTGATGAATATTGTAGATGATCAGCTGCCTCTATCGTTCCGTAGTACCTCGAGGTCGTCAGCTAGGCAAGACAAATGCCTCTATCACACGCAGGGCTGGGATTCTCTGGAAAAATTCCTCCGACGAGTTGGGCTGAGCATCTAGCCGTCTCGCATGGCGAAGAATCAATTCGAGACTGAACTGCTGAAAACCGAGTAGTATGCTAGTAGTGCCTTAGACGTTTCGTCCATAGTCGATCGCTTGGAATGAATATAGGCAGTGTGCCAACGAGGGCACGCGAGGCATCACAAGCCGTTCCGGTGGGCGGGGTACTGGCGCAGGGTAAGGGATATATTTTGCAGCCTTGATCAACCAACTTCAGATGTCGTTCGAAGCAGCAGCAGCAGCAGCAGCAGCAACCCGCAGAACCTTTTATCCTCAAGAATTGGAATCTTGATGAAAACCGGTAACCCAAAAAAATCAAGAGAAACCCCCTCCCTTCCAAACAAATTCATTTGACATTTTATTTTTTGTTTTTTTTTTTCACAGTCGTTTTACAGAACCATCGCCAATCCAATCAACCCCAGACTCGCCATCACAGCAGTTTGCATTCCACCTGACCTCGACCAGCCTGCAACACCATCATTACTCTCAGCGGCAATCGTACAATTGCTATGCCCCACCAATTCCGGCTCAGTCATGGCAATAGCAAAACTCTGCACCGAAAATGGCAAAGTCGTACATTCTCCTTGCTCCGAAAGACAATTCCATTTCCGCGAAACTTCATCATTCTTGTCATGACAATTCGGCCCATTGAAAGTTTCAAATTCTAATCGTCCTCCAACAGCAACATTTCGTGATGATCCATTGCTGCTGCTGCTGCTGTTATTTCCCCTTCGATCATCATTATTATCATTATTATCATCATCGTCATAATTTTGCCCCATCAAACCAACCAACCCCGCCAAAGGATTTCTCACTTGCGTATAAAACACCCGACTATAATTTAAATTCGTGCTGAAGCCATGCGCAGTAATTGTATAATTCACACCGCACTGTTGTCCCTTTTCACATTTTTCGCCTTGTACAGTATAATTTGAATCCGGATCGCTGAAGGTGTTGCCGAGATTGAAACATGTGTGGCTCAGAGGGATCGTTCGGATCGAGATGGAAAGGGTAGTGTTGTCTTGATTTGAACGATCGGAGGAAGAATCAATATCGCTGCTGCTGCTGCTGCTGCTGCTGCTGCAATCTTCTGAGGCGGTGGATGCGAAAAAGGTAATGTTCATGAGAGCGGCGGAGACGTCGTTGCGGGAAAGGTCGGTGGACATGTCATCGTCGAAGGAGGTTTGCGCTGTCGTAATCAGGAAGGGCTGGAGGGCCAGAGCGGCAATGTATCGGGTGTGCATGGCGAGAATCTGGTGAGTGCTGCCGCTGTGGTGGGTATCGTTGAGAGTGTGGTTGTTATGGTTGTGGTTGTTGGCGAAATTCCCTCCCTGTGCATCCTTCTCAAGCGAAAGCGAAAGCCGCAAAGAACCGCGTATTCGTGTTCCTTAGGCGTGAAGAGAAACGGAAGCATGGCTAGAATGGAGTGTCTAGTGTTTGACAATAATGGCCTGTCCATGTTCGGCAAATAGCGGCGCCCATGACATGTAATCTTATAAGCTTCACTTCCCTGCAAAAAATGTACCAGGTGCCGGTAGCGAGGTTTCTTGGCGTCAAATTGGTGTTGCTTCTTCGAGAATGACGCGAAGGAGAGAACTCCGGACATGTCACTCTCTTTCTCTTGTGCTGGGTTGGATGCATCAGATCAGATATAATATAGACTCTGAGGCGAGATTTTTTAGTGCAAGCCAGTATGATCTGATTGCCAGACTATATAGCTACAAAAAAGCTCGGGTTTGTGTAGCCCATCCTGAGATGATCCCAGGAACTAGCATATATGATAGATCGTTATATATCATGCTAACCCAGGTGTCCGAGAGATGCTTTCTGACATGTGGATATTTGGTACTTATCTGTCGTGAGGGTGCGAGACCGGAGCCAGATATCGAGCGACATATTGTAGGGGTTGTTGGCATGCTACAACGACTTTCGAGCAAGTAGTCGGAGTCTGGGAGGTCTCAAAAAGTGAAGTGGTATTGTGAGCGGCCATTTCGTGCAGTGTATCCGGAGCGGGCCATTTCGCGCAAGATTTACGAATGGTGATGATCTGGGGACTCAGAGCCTCGCACGGCTCTGCTCTCCCAGTGATGATTGTCAGGCGACATTCTTCAGTTCCTGACCAGCCATGAATCTTCGCAAGTTCTCGGCAATCAGGCCTTCACTACCTTGGGGTCGTCCACCGGCAGCATGGGGACTAATAATCGTGTTGGGAGTCTTCCACAGCCTCGACTCCTGTTGTAAGGGCTCCTTTACGAACACGTCCAGAGCCGCGCCGCCGATCTGCCCAGACTCCAGGGCATCGGCGAGAGCCTCCTCATCGATGCTGGTGCCACGACCGACGTTCACTACCCACGCGTGATTTGGCAGTAATGCTAAGCGCTCCTTGTTCAACACGTTCATGGTGCTGTCGCTTCCTGGCAGGATCATGACTAACGCGTCAGTCTTTCGCAGTTGCTCGTCAAGCTGTGTCTCATCGATGACCTGCACCCCATTTCTGATGCCAGCGGAGCGAGCTACACCAGTCACAGTTGAACCCAAGCTGACCAGATGTGGCGTCAAAGTCTTGGCGATGTTTCCAAATCCCCAGATGAGCACATTCGCGCCTCGCAAGCTGGTAAACTTCCCCTTAGGTCGGTCCGGCTGGGGCCCTCCCAGGTGCTGAGGCCATTTCGCTTGTACTTGAAAGTCACGCATTTCGAAGAAGCGTCTTGCGGCGTTCAGTAGCAGAGCCAGCGTATGCTCGGCTACAGTGTAGTCGTGTAGGCTGGAACCGGTGGTCACCGTGATGGACTTGGAAAACCCAGCGCTGAAGACGTCATTTGGCCCAGCAGCGAGCGATTGGATCCATTTGATGTTCTTCATCCGCGATGCTGCATCTTTGAGGTTTTCAGCAGTGTTTGTCCAGGTGATGAGGATTTCCGCATCAATGAGATCCTCTGGAATGAGTTCTTTGACATTGTAGGCGTGGTACGTGGTAGCGAACCCCTTGAAAGAGTCCACATCGAGCTCGAGTGAAGTTGGATAGAGGAGCTTCATCTTGGTCGGAAGTGGTAGAGTCCAGGTAGTGGTGGCGGTGGTGGTGTTGGTGTTGGTGATGAGAGATGTGAGAAGAAAGTGAAGTGAAGTGATATGAACCAACTGTACCTTGTGCAGTGTCGGGATTTGAGCTCGGGCAGCATCGGCATTTGTCGGCAGCGGGGGTGGGTCTCCTCCAACCGGGGACGGTAAGTAAGCACGGGGACGGTACGTTGGTACATCAATCAAGTGTTCTTCACTTGGACATCAATCTACATCCAATTTCGGGGTCTCTCCACAAGTCTTCGCCAGACCAACAGTATGGCAAACCTCGTAGAGCTGGACTCGGTCGAGATTCTCGTGGTCATCGATAATGAACTCGACCCCATCAGTGCCTCGCCCAATCCAGGAGTAGTGCAAAGCGGTAATCTCAGAGACATTGCCTTCCGCGAAGAGCCACAGCAGCCCGATGCAGACAGCGAACCGTATCGAGAAGCCAAGATGGAGAACATTTGCTGCTCTGCACATGGTCTCTCCCTCCTGATTACCGGCATCCGAGGCAGTCAGAAGCATACCATCTTGTTCGACACGGGGCCAGAAGAGCGAGCATTTGAACTCAATGCCACCCGCCTCCGTGCTGACGTGGGATCGATCGAGAGGATCCAGCTCTCTCACTGGCATCGCGATCACTCGGGAGGTATGCTGAGGGTATTGAGCATGATCGACGATGCTCGAAAGAAGTCTAGCAGCAGCAGCAGCTCTCCTGTTGTGGTCGACTTGCATCCTGATCGACCTGCTCTCAGAGGCGTGAAAGCTCCATCTGTGGGCGTGACTATCGCATTGGGAAAAGATCCGACCTTTGAAGAAATCGAGGCTGCCGGTGGGAAAGTCGTGAAGAGCGACCGGGCTCATGCTGTGCTAGATGATATGTTTCTCATCTCGGGAGAAATCCCACGAGTGACTCCGTACGAGAAAGGTCTCAAGTATGGAGTGAGGCTTCAAGACAAACAATGGATCGAGGACACTCTCATGAAAGATGAGAGACTTTTGATGTGCAAGGTCAAAGGTATTGCTTGAGAGAGGTGTAGTCATCACGAAAAACTTCCAATAGCTGACTTCCTTTTGTAGGCAAGGGAATCGTAGTCTTCACAGGCTGCAGCCATGCCGGCGTGGTGAATGCTTCCCGACACGCATTCGAACTCGGCGCTGGCACGCCTCTCTACGCTGTCATGGGCGGCTATCATCTCGCAGATGCAGAGCCTGCTCATATCCAGAGTACTGCAGCGGATTTGAAAGCATTGGATGTCCAAGTCTTGCTCACAGGTCACTGTACCGGCTGGCGTGCAAAGTTTGAGATTCAGAATCAGATGCCGGGACGCCTGGTTCCATCATTTGTTGGCTCAAAGTTCGTGATATGAGACTACCTATGTTATTGAACACTGTCTTGAACAGATAGCCTCCAAGTGTGCTGCTTTCTGCTGATGAATGAAGCCGGCGTGTGAACACTTCACTGCAGTCCCAAAAGACAGGTACATCAGAGTGCGTGTGGGGGAGAGAGAGAAAGAGAAACACCACCTCTCCAATCAAAGCCACGCCTCAACTCACCACTCATCAGCACACCCCATCCCATATCCCCATCGTCCATCCATTCACCCAATCCTGCCAATACACTTTATACCCCCTTTTCATAAGGTAGGTAACAAACCGAAATCTCTCCAAGGCTGATGAAAATCAGCCGGAGCTTTTTTTTTTTTTTTTTTTTTTTTTTTTTTTTTTTTTTTTTTTTCAAATCCCACTTCAAAATCAATTTATACAAGGATGATGAGAAAACCATAATAAAAATAGACTGTAAAAGGAGACACAGCGCGAGACAGCGCGAGAGACAGCGACAGCGAGAGAAGAGAGGAGAGGAGAGAAGAGGAGAAGAGGAGAAGAGGGAGAAGAAGAAAAAGAAGATTAGAGAGAAAAAACAATCGACCCCAATTTTTGGTTTTTTTTCTACCTATTGCTAGATGGAAGCCGCGCCAAGCCCGAGCAACCCGAGGAATAAGAGGAATGAGAGAGAGAGAGAGAGAGAGAGAGAGAGAAATTCTGAATTCTAGACCAGGACAGGACAGGACAGGGATAAGGCTCGTATTCACTCTTTTTTTTTGGCATTGGCATTTGGTATAGACGATGGAATTAGAGAGGTAGAGAGGTATCTTAGAAAGTATTGCGGGGTTTTTTTCTGTTTGTTAGAAATCTGGAATAATAATAAGTTTTGGAAACGGGGAGGGGGTTTTAGGAGGCTTTAAGGAGATAGCTTAAGAGGAGATGGATATATATAATTCGTGTATATAAAATATAAAATATAAAATATCAAGATATCCAGGTAAATCAAAACAACATCTATACCTCCTACGAATATATAGTCTCTTCTTAATCCTAATAAAAGCTACATACCCTACCTACCTTACCTAACCTAGCTATTTTGACTTAGGTACTTTTATCTCCTCTATCTATATATTTTTTTTAGCAAAATAGTACCGTACCGTACTAACCCGACTTTGGATCTTCGCTAGGCAAGGAAGGTTAGAAAATTCGGGAGATTTGGATACGATAATGATGATGATGATGATAATTAGAAGTAAAAAAAAGCGATTCTGGTTGGACTGCTATACGAAATCATTCTTGATTTGGAGGATAGTTGGGGGATAGATATAAGGTAGGTATTATTATATCTTTTCCTACTTTGATGTCAGGGCTAGGTATTTTGGCGAGGAGGAGGAGGGTCTTGGGATTGGGTGGTGGAGGTAGGGCGTTGGCGGGCGTGGAATGTAATGTTGCTGTTGGGTTGTTGAGAGGTGATGAATGAGAATTGAAGAGTCTCTTTTCTCTTTTTCTCTCTTGTGTATAGAAGAGATTTATCTGTTTGTTCGTTATTGGCAAGGATATCTTGTCTTGTCTCAACAAGCAAAGGAGAAATAAGGTATTGATACGATGCGATGCGATGCAATGCGCTGAGATGCAATTACCAGGTGGTGTTGATAAATCTCGTCAAGTATTAATTGATGCCAGAGATAATCGATTACCATGTCAACGAGTGAAAGAATATCATCACTCAAAGTTTGACCTATACCTACTGATATAATTAATCTGCTGACCCACGATGCAACCCATCCTCCCGAGGAAAACAGTTTCTATTATCACCAAGGCGACATCATGCCGGTTTGCAAAAGAAGCGGTCTTCATTGAGACTTCTTTCGGACTCCAATCCCCATCGAGCGCCTTTGAAGTTATATATCCCAGGCTGCTGCCGGCTCGCTCGGCCACTCTATGCCTGTTTGTAATGTGCTACAATCATCCAGCTGGGTCACGCATTGGAGCCCGTATGTCCCATCGCCTAGCATTCTGGGAACGCAACAGAAGAAATCTACGCCAGGCCTTGGTTCGATGTCCTCGGATGCCGATTCTGATACCTGGATGTGACTTCCGCAGTTGCATGCTGATGAACACTCGCTCATCGACCAATCTCATCTCTTGAGGGCCGACCAACCCTGACCCATTCAGGTTCCATTGACAAAGACGTTCAGCGGCAGACTGGCGACGACGGCATAGTTCGGCATATCGACGACCTCGGCGAGCTTCATATCGGCAGCCACACTGCAGAGCATGTATGCGTCCACCCTCGACATGCCCTTCTCCGCCTGCAAATACTCCAGCATCGCACGGACGGCCTTCTTGGTGGCCTCGAGCAGACTGGAGTCAACGCCCATTGTATTGTATGTCCCGCAATCCGGAAGGATGTCATCTCTCTGCGGCGGGCACGAGAAGTGCGGTGATTGCACCCACGGCTGCTTCTTCTTCACGGTGAAGCGCAAAGTTGCCTGGACGGGAGTCTCAATGGCAACACCGCAGACCTCGCCGTCACCCTGTGCTGCATGCCCATCTCCACAGCTAAAAAGCGCCCCTGGAGTCCGGACGGGCAGCAGGAGCTTTGTTCCCTTGGTGATGTGGCGGCAGTCGATATTTCCACCAGTATCCGTCGGCGGAATGGTGGAGAAGGAACCTTGTTCGCGGGGTGCGATTCCCATTGTTCCCATGAACGGGCGGCGTGGAATGCGGATGTCATCGTTAAACCACGCCACTCGGTCTTCGGCAGGCAACTTCCAGATCTTGAGATGTGGCTCGGTGAATTCATCTGCCAGGAGGCCAAAGTCGGGAATGATGGCGGTCCATCCCCAGTTGGCCGTGTGCAGATCAATCACTTCGACTTCCAAGGCGTCACCCGGCTCTGCTCCGTGCACGTATACTGGCCCAAACACGGGATCTGCCTTTGACGTATCGAAGGTCGTCAAATCGTGGACCGTCGACTCTGCTGTGATCTGGCCGTTGCCTCCGTCGACGCAATCAAAGGTCACGACGTCGCCCGAGCACACGGAGAGCTTCGGTGGTTCGTCCTTGTTCCATGTGAGATGGCTCTGGCCCCGATGGATATGATGGTACTGATGCGAATCCTTTCTCATGGCGGGCATATTGGCAATGCTGCTGGACTGTACCACGACAGCGGTAACGAACTAGTTAGAGCCTCAGGGATCAACAAGTGGTGGCCCAACTTATAAGAAGTGATCGATGATGGGTGACTACAGGTACTTTCGGGAGCGAGTGGACTCTCCCTCTCTCTCTCTCTCTCTCGCTCTCTCTCTGCCTCTGCCTCTCGCTCTCTGCCTCTCGCTTTCTCTCTTTCTCATGTGATCGGCACGGCGACGACGCCGCAGGCCGCAGGCGGCGCCAAGTGGTTCGGGTAGGTGGTGACCATAAGGGGAAGGTAGTGCGAAAGCAGCACATGGCAGTGCGTGTTGCTCTGCATTTCCCAGCGCTATCTCCAAAGGCACATCTTTTCATCACCCACGGACCATTCCTGCTTCTGTGATACGGCGTTGCGAAGGGGCAACGGCAGGTTAGCCAACGTGTATTCCTTCTCGCTAACTCCGAGGCTGTTTGGTGTGCAGGGAAGGCCTAGGCTGGAAAAGGAAGCTCCTTCAATGCTGGCTGCCGACTTCGGAATGGATCTGCCTGTCTTGGACTCTTGGGAGCGCTGAGTGTCCTTCCGGACGTCTTGGCGAATCTGTGCTTCTTTGTGTTGTATGTGTTGTATGTCTCCTTTCATCACCACTTCCATACACCATCCCCACAACGCGTCCACCACCGTGACTGCGTGTGATACCACACTAATGTGCTCATTGTGCTGCGACAGAAGGTGGTATGCCCTGTCCCACTTCTCTCCTCCACTCTACTGGCACGTGGCAGCAATCGAGATCGAACTGGGGGATGGTGGCTGGATGCATCCATGGATTGGACACCTGGACCATGACATGTCATACCAGCATGATGGTTCCGATGGTCCCGACGGTAACGGCGACGGCGACGGCGACGGCACGACGACGACGATGACAATGATAACGACGACAATGATAACGATGAGAGGAAGTAGTATCATCGCCCTGTGAATTGGCAATTATTCCAAAAGCAAAAAAGACAGTCTATAGAACGCCACAGTATTGAATCTGTCGCCACTCCCCTACCTACTACCTACCTAAATAGATATATGTACATATACCGAAGGTAGTATTGCATTTTTTAACTTGTCGTACCTTGTAGATCCAACCTCTTTAGTTGAAGTTACCTACCTTATTATCTATCTCATTTACCTATAGTAGTATATATATACATATATATATACATACCATGTATATACATACATACAGTAGTAGCACAACACATAATAAATTCCCACGTGGCACTTCCATTTTAAACCCTCCCTCTCATCCCCTTGTCCCTCGCCCAGATCTATCCATCTCTCTCCCTCTCTTCCTCATCACACCTCTCTGCCCCCTCCCCCCCTCTCCTCTCATCACACATCACACATCACAAAATCACAAATCACACCCCATAAAACCCACCCGGGACCACTTTCCCCACCCCTATCAGAAGAGAGACCACCTCAAAGAGAGACATGTGATATTATGTACTCGGTTCCTTACATGGATACGCGATACGCGAACAAGAAAAAATTAAAAAAGTCCACGCGGCCTCTTTTTTAAAAACAGGTAAAACTGATGAAATTGATAAATCGTTGGTCTTTTGAGGATAAGGCAAGATCGATCCTAAGCCATGGAAGATATCTCTTCTTCTTCTTCTTCTTCTTCTTTTATCAGTAAGATAAGTAAGCAGCATACTTTGGCCGTGCCTTCCTTTTGTGCTCTAACATTCCATCATTTCTAAATCATCCATTTTTTTTCTCGTCATCAACTATCATCATCCATCATGACTATCATCATCACTCATGACCATATCAATCATGATCTGTCATCATACCCACCCCCCTCCCCACTAACCAACCCAACGCCATTCCCCCCTCCCTCTGACCAATCCTATGAAGAGAAAAAAAAACATCAACGTCCAGCACACCCACAAAGAAATCCTCTCCAAAACCCTCCTCCTCCTCCTCTCTCCCTTCTAGTAGATTCCCCTTCATCCCAAATCTCCCTCACACCTTTCCCATCCCTCCTCGCAGAATGCGAAGAAGAAGAAGCAGAAGTCGAAACAAAAGCAGCAGAAGAACTCTTAGATTCTCTTCCCGTCATCATCATCATCCCACTCGTGGAATCCTTCTTGCCCATATTCTTCTTCTTATTCCAAGCCCATTTTCTACTCAACGGTACCGACTCATCATCATTATCGTCGTCGTCGTCGTCATCATCGAAGAAACAGGCAGGATACTGTGCACTGTCACGTCTGAGTAATGAACCGAATGACGTTCGAGGGTCTGGGGTAGGGGCGTGAGAAGGGGATTGGATGATTTGATTATTAGTTGGAATTGTGTTGTTGTTGTGGGAAGTAGTAGTAAAAGTAGTATTGGTGTTGGTGGATTCATCCGACCAACGACTTTTATTATCGTTTGCGGATGAAGGAGGAGAAGATAAGAATAGCAATGACGAGGGAGAGTATTGTGTTGTTGTTGTGGTTGTTGTTCGTGGGGTACTGGGTTGTCGTTGATGAGAGGTAGGAGAAGTACTCGCTCGAGAGTTCAAGGAGAGGAGTCTCAAGGGAATGATGGATTGTTGACGTTGGTGTTTACCCAGTAATCGTGCTTGAAAAGAGTTGATGCTATCGTTGCGGGTTCGGATGGATGATGAGATGCTTTCCTTTCGAGGGCGATAGGTGGTTTCGGGAGGTGAAGCTACATTATTACTATTACTACTATCACTACTACACACGACGGTTGTCGATGTGGGAGTTTGATGTGGTAGCGGTAGATCAGATGCTTCTACGAGCGTGATCTTCGGCTGGCGGGGCGGAGGTGTGATTTCCTGAATGACAGGGAAGAGGGTGTAGCCTCCTCTGTTGGTGAGAGTTGCTGAGGGCCGTGACTGCGACGGTGGCGATATGGGTATCAAAGGACGGCCCGATTGCGTGTTGTTGGTCAATGCTCTAGGCCTTTTTGATGATGATGATGAAGAGACGATCTCGTCGGAGTTGATTGCCACATTGGTGGTGGAGGAAGAGGAGGGAGGAGTCGGTGTAGTAGCTGCTGACAAGCCAAAGTCGAAACGATCCATAGCAGGATCGAGTTTCAGCGTTCGAGGGGGTATTTCGGGGCTGTGGATGATAGGCGAAGGCTCTCGCATGTAGTAGTCCAGAATGCCGAGCGAGATCTCCGATTGTCGTGTCGAAGGTACATGTATACTCGGCGACGCCTTACGACTACTACTACTACGGCTGTAACTACCCTTCTTGGAACCCCTGCGCGGCCATGCCGATGTTGATGCGGATGCGACATCTACTATCTGTGGATCTTGGATTTGTTCTTGAGACTCCGACTTCTCCTGATTACGCGGCTGAATGAGAATTTTGCCTGTGCTGTCATCTTCAGGCTGCTTCGATGGGAGATTCAATGGCTTTGGTCGTAGCGCTCGTTCATTGCTCTTCGGAAGTCGGACGCATTCATCTCTAGGCTCGAGTTGTGAGTGTCGCGTCTCAATCTTGTGGGGTACAGGACTCCATTCTGTAGGATATTGTCGTCTCGTAGCCATTGTAATCGAATCAAGTGATCCTAGTTGATAAAGCGACAGCAATCTAAGCGAAAAAAAAATCCGAGGTGTGAGCCAAACGGACGACAATGCCTCTTCAAGTGGGAGATGCCGATCGACATTCTCATATACCAGTCGGGGGCCCGCCATTGAGGACGTGAGGGCGGAATGTACAACTCCCTCCATCTGTCAACAAGAAGCCAGGAGTACCGAGCACCAGGCGAGGGCTCGGGCTGACGGGTGTGGAGATCGAAAAACAGCCAGTGCTCGCCGTCGATGAGGTGCATGACAGTCTGTCATGAGCTCGTGCCTGAGTGGTCCAAAGATTATGGAGAGAGCCCAGTAGCCAATCAGTTCATAACGGATGCTGCACGAAGCCCGTGAGTTGGGTTCCGCAAGGGATGCATTGCTCAAGCGCTGAAGACATGGAGAAAGTGTAAACAAGACCTTCAGATCCTCGGATGCGCTTCCGACTGTGAAGATTACGCATCCAGATCCACCTGCGACCACTGCCACTTTTATTTTACGTCGACGACAAAGCTTCATTTGAGTGAATACGGAGTTGAAGCTATGAAAAGGTGGCCAGTAGACGAGCGCAAGGTCGGTCTCCCCCCTGCCAGAAGTCTTCACAAGTCCATGTCAGGGACAACCTCCTAGCAGGGTCTCTCTCTCGCTCGCGCTATAGGTGAAGTTCTCTTTTGTTATAGGCAACTTCTCCGCGAGAGATCCTGTCGGAAGCAAGCCTCGCCCCTGGTCAGCTCGTGGCGCGGAAGAATGTGCCTTTCTTTCCCTTCGCTTGTGTTCCCCACAGGGGCCGTCATACAACATATGTAATGCAGCGGCACGGCCTCTTATCCTTCCTTCGCTTCGTGTCCCCAAGATCTTGGCAGGAGGAACCTGACGAAAGCTGCCCCGTCTGTATGAGTGCCTGAGGCGCAAATAAGCCGACAAAACGAGATACATCATCAGGGCATTCATCAATTTTCAGTTCCTCACGAGTTTTCATCAAACGCCGCCTGCAAATCTAACATCTGTCCACCTTGTGTCCCAGCAAACAGCTCACTATCATTGTCATCAAAGGTCGATTCATCTTCACCAACAATCGGCTCCAGCTCTGCCTCTTTCGTAGGTGTTTTGAAGGGCTTCAATGAAGCACGATTTCCACTGGTGCTGGAGAGTGGCTGCCGACCTGTACTCTGCCTGATACCAGTACTAGCTCTGGAGAGCCTTCCATTCCCAACGCCGCTAGCCCGAGCTTTTGCAGTCGTTGTTAATGGAGCAGCGAACGACAAGGACTTTCTTGGCTTCTGCCTCTTAGGCGTACGTCCATTCTTGTCTTCTTGAGATCTGCCGTTAGAGATGAAAGACTGCTCCAGATTTGATGCCGAGATATCCATGTCTTCTACAGAAGCAAGCGGCGAGGGAGGCGAATCTTCTGCTTGAGTGTGTGTTTGTGATGCGAACGAGTCTCGCGAACGATGCGGCAGACTTGCATGGGCTTGACTTTTGTTGATGCCCATGGCCGCCATGAGGTTAGCACGCATAGATTCTGCTTCGGCAATCTGTTGGTCTTTTTCGTGACACTTGCGTTGATAGCGCTCGACTTTCTTCCTGAGATCTGCAATCTTTTCATCCTGGCTCTCGATATGCGCCGTCTTGGAGTGAATGATCTCACGAAGATCCTGTTGTGCATCTGCAAGTTTTTGCTGGAGATGGGCGTGATCCTCCTTGTATTGATCAGTGAGCTCGGCGTACTCTTGCTGCTGTCGTTCGATAGCCGCTCGCAGGTGTTCAGTCTCACGAGCTAGCTCTGACTTGACCCCGTCACGCTCAGCTCGGCATGTCTGCAGTTCATCCTTCACCTCCTTAAGCTGACGAAGCTTCTCTGCATCACCACTGCTAGCTGTGTGGAGATCCTCCTCCAGAGTCGCGTTCGCAGTCTTGAGTCGATTGTTCTCCATCTCAGACCGGCCAAGTTCACGCTCCAGGTCGTTGGCTCGCGCGTCGTGGATCGACAAGCGTTCGCGTAGCTGTTCACGGTCCACTTCTGCTTCTTCCAGACGATGCTCGTAGCTCGACAACCTTGTAGCCTGGTCTTTGTACTTGGCCTTCCACTGCGCAGTCTCATCCTCGGCATCCTCAAGCGCTTCCTGCTTTTGTGCAATCCGCGCCGCCGCATCAAGCCCAGCGATCTGGTTAGCACTTTTAATGTCAGCCAACTGTTTCTGAGCGTCCGATTGTGATTGGCGTAATGTCTCTTCCAGCTCAGTGACACGCTTGAGCAGTCTCGCGTTCTGATCTTCGACATCCTCCAGATCGTCCGCTTGACGACTCTCGTTCTCCTCTAGCGATCGAATTCGCAATGTTGCCTCCACATACTTGGACTCGATCTCGTCAAACGCCCGGCTCAAAGCGGAGTTCTGTTCCTCCAGTGCTCGGCATCTCTCTTGCTCGTCGCGCAAAGGCTTCTCCACGGTCTCACAGCGTGCTTCCAGATCTGCGCAAGCTTTCGCAAATAATCTGGTTACCGCATCTTGTTCAACATGGGCACGGGCTTTGAAATGTGTATGTAGCGCCTCTCGCCAATCGATGTGCTCGTGCGCATTGTCCGTCGGGTCAGAATCCGCGATAGCGACGACCTCCCTCCAGTCCTGTCGCCCATGAGCACATTCGAGATCACCACGAGCAGAGAGGGCGTGCAGGTCGAGGAGGACTGTCATGGCGTACGATCCGAGAGAAGAGCCCTGGGAAGCTCGCAACAACAGGTTACTGATCTGATGCGCAAGTCTCGATCTGGTCCTCTGCAGCGCCTTGTAACACCAGCCACTAGAGGCAGGTCCTGGGTTGAGTGCCTTCTGTTCCTCAAGAAGCGCTTGAAGTTGCTGGAGCTTGCGAGTAAAGCTTTCATCAGTCAGCATTTCCCGTATCTGGTGTCCAGCGATCTTCTGAGAGCCAACAATAACCTGCGCATCGGAGATCATGCGAGTTACGGCATCAGCACCTGCTGCTAATTCTGCTGAATCCGTCCGGATTGCATAGTCCACGGCGTTCTCAAGCAGTATACTGATGGGAGCTCGAGAAAGAACACCACAGAACAGGTCACTGTCATCCACATGTGAGCATAGAGTGTGCACTGTCTGTAACTGCTTCGCCTCCAGAAAAGTCAACTCGAGGCTCTCCAGAACTGGGTGTGGCAGCGTATCGAGGTCGCATAGCTTTCCGATAAAACGAAGAGCGAGCGTCTTAGTTTTGTCCTCCACATCTTCCGCACAGAGCCGTTCTTGCAATTTGCGAATCATGCCTGGATTCGCTGTCGCCCAGATTTTCCTGATGTCCGCGGGTATGGCTGCAATGATCTCATTCGCAAGAGCGAGAGATTTGACCTTTTCGAACGAACAATCTGTCGAGGTTGCTTTTGAAGCGAGGTAAGCTGACAGTACCACAAGCTGTATACTTTTCTGTGCCTTGCTTCCAGTGAAGAACTGCTGCATCGCTTCCGACTTCCATTTCGAAGACGCAGGTGTGCTCGCCAAAAAGTCCTGAGTGTCATATGAGCTGGCGGTAAGTCTCAACGCGGTGTCCGTCGTAGACTTGCAGACCAAATTCATAATGGCCAAACAATACAAACTCAAACAGCCATCTGGCGTGCTTCCACTGTTCTTCAGAATTTCCAAAAGATGGTCCTCAAACCGCGTCATGGTCTCGCTACTGAGAACTCCCAGGAGCAATCCCCCCGTCCCCGAGAGCATGATATACACAGGCTGTATAGTCATCGGCGACGGCCTCCGCGCCGCATCCTCCACCAACTGAATAAACAGCGTCTGAGCCTCCGCAGGAAGAGCAACAGTATCCGGCAACGGCAACGACAGCAACGCCACGCTCGCTCGCGTATACTTCGATCTCTCATGATGATGATTGCCAGATTTGATCGCATGTGCCACAGCACTATGCAACAAAGTCGGTTCCTGGCGCAAAAACGCATCACGACAAGGCGCAGTGAATGCAAATTTTGTGATAATGTCCAGAACATACGACCATTGCTGCAAACCTTCCAGAAGACAGGTTGCCAATGTTTCGATGAGACATGGCTTTGCCGCTGCCCATTGCGAGATGTCTGCGTCAGCGCACTTTTCTGCGATGTCGCGCAAAGTCCGGAGTTGGCTTGGATAGGGGGATGTTGTGATGCGATCCACTTCCGTGGCGAGTGCCTCGTAGCTTGTCATTCTCGCTGGGCGATGTCCCATTCGCGGTGGTCGTCGTCGTCGAGATCTGCTCGAGAACTCCATCATTGAACGGTGAGGTTGATTGGGCGACGGGAGTGGCCGGTTGTCAAGGACGACCAAGGCATCAAGTGTGGGGCTATACCATGAAATCTGGTTTCGCGCGTTCAGGTCGCGTCAAGGTCCGAAGCGCAGTAAGTACATATATTGGGATGAGGACCTAGGAAAAAGATCACGGAGACGTGCTTGACACTCAATCCGTGAGCGAAGAGTTCAGTAAACCCGATTCGAAGGTTGCTTCCCGGCGGCTCAATCGGTCACCATCAAGAACATCGATCGCATTAGAAGCTGGCAAATTATGCTGACACTGTTCTGCAGACTACTTGAGACAAGGTTATAGCTGTTGCTCTTACACCACTCGTCCGCTACAAAATCCTATATCGCGGTCCTGTTGTACCCCTCTTGATTCTCTAATTCCACGTGGCATCTCGTCGTAAAAGTACATCTGCGCCGTTAGGCGATTCGTAAAAGGGAGAGTACCTAGGTATGGGACACTCTACGCTTCTGCAAGGAAGAGCAAGTGTTCACTCGCATGATCCATCCTTCGAAGCGCTCTCTTTGAAGTGTTTCACATGCCACCAATCTTGAACTCCCGCACGTGCATAATTCCTGTTGATTGTCTGTCGTACTTTGCGTCTGGTTCGTGCAAGACTGCATCTGTCTCGCTCCTGGTAGAGTCGTGTCGTGGATGGTGAGACAGACCACCGGCGCCATCTAGGCGACTGTCGGCTCTCTCCCTGGAGTCCATTAAGTCCCATTGCCAGTCCGCGGTCGGTAGCCTACACTCCAACTGCGTGCCTGTTTCCGCTTCAATCCGCTTCGCGATTATGGCCATCTGAAGTTCCTGTCTCCAGCAAAGCTTTCTTCTCTTCTCGTCGAGACTCTCGTTGAGCTTGGCGAGCTCGCCATTGCATGAGCGCTCGAGCTCGAGCTCCTCTTTGCGCTGCTGACGTCTCAACTCATGTAAATCTCTATCTTGTCGCAGCGCTCGGTTGTGTAGCCTGCGGGTTTGCTCCCCACGCAAGACATTGATGGCACTTTCATGCCGAATAGCCATGGTATCCTGATGCCATCGCGCTTTTTTCAGTTCCAGTCGAGCTTGTTCTGTTACGATGCGGTCGTGACTTTCGCCATTACTGTATGTTCCAGCGCAATACGACCCCAGGTGCTTCAAAGCTGTGGCAATGTCGCATCGCTCTTTCTCCTGAGCTTCGCGCAAGTCAGACTCAGCCTGGACTTGCTTATCTTCTGCATCGCTTGTGGCAGAGGCGTGACGCTCCTGCATCGCCTCCGCGACAGCTTCGTGCATCGACCGGAGATCACGTCGACGTTGGTCGTGCCTGTCAATCAGCTCCGCCTGTTGTTTCGCTGCCCAGGCGATGTAACGGTCACGCTGTTCGATTTGGCTACTTTGCAGCAGTCTGTAGTCCTCGCGCTCGACCACGTCTCCGAGCGCCTCCTGAGCCGCCTGTAGTGATACTGGCATGACACTAGGATGATCTCGCTCGACATGATGTTTCCCAGGTGGCTGTTGCTGGTGAAATTCGCGATGAGAACCATTCGTGGACGGCCTCGATGACACAACCTCGTCCCACTGCTCTAATTTGTGCAGCAGCGCAGCTTGCTCTTCGTGCGTCATGACATGCTCGACCAGGCGTCCAGGGATGGGTTGGCTGCAGCAGCTAGGCACCGCTCCTTTTGTGCAGTCGATGGCGGCGTTGATGGTATTGCGGAGTGCTTGGGTACAAAGTCGGTGTCCACAAGGCAATTTGTGAATCGCTCGTCTTTGGCTTGGCGGATCATGTGGGCAGTGCGGACACGCGTCAGCCAGAGATGTGATTGAATCTGATCGATGGGGTCGCAGCAGACTGAGACCTCGAATACGTCGAAAGTGTCTTCTCGGCGACGCGTCTGGAGATGCCGGTGGCTGCGATAGAGGAAGAGAGAAGACAGAATGGAATGGGCTGGATGGTAGTGGTGGCGGTGGTGAGAAAAAGGATATCGAGAATCGACCGTTTGGCACACCTCGGGATACGAAGCTGTCGTAGTCCTTGAATGAGAGAGTGGTTCCCGATCGAACTTTGCGATCAACAGAGATCCCTGGGTGCTCCTTTGAGCTGTCGGAGAAGGTCGACATCAGACCTGTCGAGTGTGATGTCGTCGAGTCAACCGACTCTGAGCGCCGAGAATAGTCGGAGCAGCATGTCCTAAACGACTGGTTGCTTCCCATGGCCGAGTCCGTCTCCTCAATGTCCACTCCGAGCTGCTTTGCCTCGGTCTTCAGTTGCTCATCCAGCTCATGTTCAGTCTGCGTATCCACCTTCATCACCTCCAAGAGAAAAGCCCGGTCATGATCGAGCATCGTCGAGCATCGTCAGCAGGTATCTCAAGTGCAAGCAAGCTCCCCCTGGCAGCCGGTATCCTCGTTACTCTTTCTGTGTGATGAGAGAGGGAGATTGCTCCCTTGCACAGCCGACGCTCTTTTTGTGACAAATGTCCAACGCCTTCAGTCTAATGGATCATTGCACGACGTCTGTGTACCCACACCCAAACCTGCTACTGTTCCTGCTCGTGAAGAGGGAGGGTGTCGCAACGCTCGCCCGATTGCTGACCGCCTTGGAATGAAGCGCAGTGTCGGTGCTGCCTGGCGAGAAGAAGAGGAGAGGTATGATGATGATTGTGACATTCGCAGAGGCTGTTTGTGACGGATGGGAGAGCAATGTCTGTCGTCCAGAGAGATCTACAGCGCCCGTCAAACGGATGGTCGTGGTCCAACGGACCCAAGCTTCTGTGCCGCCGCCGGGAAACCCGCCGGGACTAGAAACGGTGCCGAGCCCAAACGGGAAAGGGGACCAATTTTGATGGAGGATGAATAATACAGTACACCAAAAAGCCCCATCGTACTCACTTGGTGATATGCCTTTTAGACGGCACAGCAGCATATTGACGACTGACTGATCCATCAATCTCCATGTTCATGTGGTGTCAGCGGTGAGATGAAGCTGCAGGACCTGGCGTCCAACGAACACCCACCTCGCATATGAGATGCTCACACTGCCTTTTTCTCTATTGCATGGCACACACGGTGGCGGCCCCTATCGATTCCCTAGGTACCTCCTATGTTATAGTGGAATGTATCACGGCGCCGCACCCTCGGGACCGTATGCGCGATCCTTCGACTAGTGGGGAGGGAGGAGGAGACTGCTCAGGAGAACTTTACCTCCTACACTCTCAACACACTCTCCTGGGCCGGAACCCGGCAGCAGGGAGAAGTCTAAACCCCCCATATAGAGTATACTATGGTACCTACGAAGGAAATAAACGCAACGGGACTGATGAGAAGTAGCAGAATGATCCAGGGAAAGCAACAGGAACGCTCTCATCAATCAACATCCTGCAGCGCGCCAGCCCACCGCAGCACAGCGTAACAAGCAACTCGAGCGCATGACCGAGTCTCGGTGTCTCACATCGTCATCCTTTTTGCCGCCAAGCTGTTCGCTTTTGGTGCCTTCGTTTATAACTGGTTGCTGATCGGTTTTTCGGTGCCGAGCATATTCTTGTCATCCCCTGCACGAGTACGCCACGCCTACCAAACCGTGTTACAGTAGGTAGGTAGTAGTAGTAGTAGTAGTACATCCTACCTGTTGTTCGCCCTCCGAAGGCCCGTAGGAGGTAGGTAATACGGTAGGTAATACGGTAAGTACGGCGGCTATGGACAAGTTCACTGAGGTACGACCTTAACCAAATACTCCGAGGGTGTTTACGTCTGACTTCGGCTTGCACAGAATAGGTATCGACAGCGCCGTTTTGAACAATGATGTGAGTAAATGACTTGACCAAAACGTCCGCGCATTTGCAGAATACTCAAGGTCTGGTAGGAGGATGTAGTAAATAGCGGAGCACAACCGCTGGTCTGGTCACGGCCCGGGAAATCTACACCACGGTCACTGCACACAAAAACGACTGTGCATTTGACAGTACATGTACCTCCCACATATATCTCCCTCCCTCCCCAATTTACCAAACGCCTACCTACCTACATAAGGTAGGTAGCCAATCCCGAAGCGTACAATCAAAAAATCCTTCCCCTGCTTCTCGGCCTATAGGATCATATCACATGCACAGAGTCAAACAAAAACGCATTGAGACAGGGCACCTGTGGTAGCTTGCGCGATGATCCACTCCAGAGATGGATAGGCTGGGAGCTAGATAGGCTGGATGGGAATGGGAATAGGATCTTTGGTGGCTGTAAAATCGGAGTTATCGGGTCCGACTGAGACGGCCAAGTCGCGAACCGTGAGATGTAGGTACCTACATACCTTTTAACCTTCCTACTAGTAGCTGTGAGCATATTAAATGACGTTGATGAGGACGATTCAGCTTCAGCTCCAGCTCCCGCTCTTCGTATAGGTAGGTAGGAGGTAGTGATGAGGTGAGCACTACAATGGCGTCGACACAATATTGATGGTAATAGGAGGTAAATAGGTGAACTGTGTTGAGAGAGACCCGCATTGTGCACGCACGTACGCACTAGCATCTCTCGCATGCAGTGATACTACGAAAAGCTTCTTTTTTTCTTTTTTTTCGGGACTGCGCGCAGCGCTGCCTCCTCGGAGGTCTGCCTCACTTACTTACACTAAATCAGATGCATCAGATTAGGAGGTAATACCTTCCAAGTATCAAGCGGGAGGGCGATCTGGAAGGATACTCAGAAGCTTAGTAAGCCTCGGTATAGGATAACCTCTCCTCCGGCTTAGCTCTATGTAGCTATAGGTATATCCTACCTACCTACCTACCTACCTATTTGCTTACCTACCTATTTATCCCTATAGGCTACCTTATCTAAATTTTAGAAAAGAAGAATGAGGAGAAGAGAAGGAGAAGAGAGAGAAGGAGAAGAAGAAGGAAAAGAAGTAAAAGAAGAAGAAGAAGCCTATAAAGAAAAAGAAGAAGGCTCCTAGGAAGAGGAAAGCTTCTAGGAAGAAGAAGAGGAAGGCTCCTAGAAAGAGGAAGGGGAAGGCTCCTAGGAAGGGGAACCCTAAGGGGAAAAAGAAGCCTCCTAGGAAGAGGAAGCCTTCTAATCTGACAACTGAGACTATTCGCCACCCTGGTTTCCGTCTTTTGTTGTTTGGATCGAGACAGTAGCATACCAAGTGGAGAAGAGTGGACATTTACATCTTTTTGGTACTGTCTATAAATCTATCTCACGTCTATCGGCTCTATCATTCATCATCCCGAAAAAAAAAGAAAAGAACAAAACCCTGCTCCCATATCTCCTATATATAGCCAGCCTTTGGATGTCTGAACAGTGCCGAACCAAGAACTTGTGCCTCCCATATCTTCATTCTCCATGTCGAGCCGTGATCTGAACAGTGCCGAAAAGAAGAAAGCATCCCACCCAATGTGCACTCGTGATTTTCGTAACATCGCATCCCATCAAAAGGGCACATCCATATCCTCCACACTCTCCTCCTCCTTCTCCGCTCCACCATGCGAATTCCCACTTCCCGCCTGCCCATTCATCACCTCTCGAATGAAAGCCACTAGCGGCACCACACTCGTCTTCGACGTCGGCAAAAAATGGCCCCCTGGATGCCTGACCACCCTCCCTCCATTCCCTGCCTCCTCGCCCCCCACACAATCATTCACCAACTGTAAAGACCTCTCCTCACTGACCACGGTATCCACACTCCCGATGAAATGCATCATGGGCGTAACGATTTTCGGCTCATAAAACGCACGATACTGCTGCATTCGCGACGCGCCGAACCCGGAATACGACACGGCAAATTTGAACGCCGGATGCACCGTCGACCCCTTTTCCTCGCCCAGAAAACTCTCGGGAAAACAATACCCTCCCTGCGCAGCATAATGTCGATTGAACGCTTCTTTGCGCCCATCTTCTAATAATGCGGTGACCATCCCTGCGGCGCAACCTCCTTGACTGAACCCTACCACTCCATCAAACGGCCCTTCTTCACGGAGCACGGCCGCGATGGCGGCTAATCCGTTGTCTAATCCGCGGTATTGATAGGGTTCGGAGTCGTTTTCGCGTGTCCACCAGCCATAGGCTTCGTCGCGGAGGCCGCCGTTGCCGTCTTCGGTGGAGTTTGCGATGAGAGAGGGGACGTCTTCGGGAGAGAGTTTCATGGGTGCGGTTGGGTAGATGAGCTCTACGCCGCCTGGATGGGATTTCAGGTGGCCCGGGGCCGGAGCGGGGGGAAAGGCTTTGTGGAGGAGTTTGAGGAGGGCTTTGGTCTTGATTTGGAAAAGGGGTCCGGATTGGGTGAAGCCGTGGAGCATGAGGATGCGGAGTTTCAGGGGTTCTGAAGACATTGTGGGAGTAGTTCTTCTGGTGGGAGCGGATTTGTAGTTGATGGTGGAATGATGGTTTAGAGACTGTTTTCTTTGTGAGAGAGTCACGGAAGGAGGAGTGGTCTTCTGAATGGCAATAGATTGGCTATATTTCTTGCTCGTCGGGTTGATAAAGGTCTTGTATGTGGCAACTGAGAGGGTCAAGCAAGGGATGGTGAGTGGCAATACGGCGTCGAGGTTCCGCAGCAGAAGGAATGGGCTGCAGTTCATGCGGTCCGCATGAAAGATACCAGTCAAAATGCGTGGGTTTCGCGTGAGTGTGACGATGTACTTCTCCCCATCATCGATCAATATGGAGCGTTAATGCGATGCTGCAATTGAAGCCAAGCGAAACGAATTTAGAGTTTTGGCGGATGCTTCCCCCTCGGCCCGCCTTCCGACAGCCATGTGAAGCCAAAGCCGCAAGCTGTCCTCGTCCATTTCCAATTCCTGTCCCCCTTCAACGCATACACACAACACCGCAATCGTCACCAACCGAATCACATCCCACAAACTGCAGAATCTCCATCGCTTCCGCCCGCCACATCCTACCTACATCATGGACCAAGCAAAAGATCTCCTCGAAATGCCGCGCGAGTTCGTCAAGGACGGCCGCCAATTTCTCACACGCTGCAGCAAGCGTACGTCGGTTCCATTTCTGCCCTCACAGGCAGACAATTGCGGGTGGTAGAACATGAGCTAATGTCGAGGATATGCAGCCGATAAACGCGAATTCCTGCGCATCTCGCAAGCAGTGGGCATGGGTTTCTTGATCATGGGTGTGATAGGATACATCGTGAAGCTGAGTACGTTTGTATTTCTCCTTCGAGGCTGTGCGGAAGTGCTAATGTGTTGTGTGTATAGTTCATATTCCCGTGAACAACATCTTGGTCGGAGGCGCATAGGTGGATAAGAAAGAGCCAGGAGATGTGGTTACAAGTGCAGAGGAAGAGAGAGGGCTTGTATGAAAGAGCAGTGACCGGCGCAGGCGAGTGAAGGAAGCGCCCATCAACGCGGGCTGGATAGGTCACTATGCCATCGATACTCCGAAAGCCATCACAGCGAGGCGTTCAGGATGGACAGATATGAGGGACAGTTGCATTCAAAAAGTCGACAGTACGTTGGAACGCATGAACTGTGCTTCTCGAGCATGGTGTGTAGAAAGTGCTCCATGCTGCTGCCCTGCGCAGATAGGAAGAAATGGAAAGCCCCTGAGAAGGAGGTGTTGGCGCACCAGTCCGCTTTCCTGACATTCAGCAGATGCGGGTGGCGCATACACGATGACAGTGAGATCAGGGAGCGTCAATGTGAACCCGATGTCCACATCTTCTGATTTCCAAGGACGGAAACCTCCATGTTTCTATGCGCATCGGTGCCATCTCATGCGTTACCTAAGGCATTGTGCACCTCAGGAGCGATCAACGATTGTAATGCACCGCAATTTTCTGGACGCTTGAAGCAGGTGGTTGTATGTTGAGACTGGATACTACTTTACCCCGACAATCGTGAAACATGTAGGATAAAACTAGGACCTCCTTCGCACGCGGTACCATAGCCAAGAGCAGACCACGCAATCCCCTTAGTAGGCTGGAACGACAAAACTCCGAGAAGTCTCGTGTCTCGCTTCATAATTTCACAACTGAACTTGTTATGCAGCAGGAAGAGAGATGGAATATCGCCTGGGTGTACAACAGCCTCGGCTCTTTGGTCCTCATCTTATCGAAGTGGCATATCGCAAGTACATGTACATGTACCTATCTGTACTTTAAGGCAGTTCTACTGACTTGTCAACATGACAACACTCACAAGTATACAGAGTTAGAGTTAGAATGGGCGTCCAACACCAGTACTCGTCAGAAGCAACCCCTTCGCATCCCGACTTCCAACTCCCATGGATCCGCAACGTCCTCTCCCAACCCGGCCTAGAACTCATCCTGGGATACCTCAGACAAGATACGCAACAAGACTCCAACACTGCAAACCCCATCATCTCCAGCTCCCTTTTCACCCAAACCCTCGCCCATCCTTCCGGCATACGAGCGTCTCTCATCTTCCGCTTACCTAGCACCTCTCCGGACTCGGTCTCCGAATGGGAACACTGCTATCTCTTTTCGATCGGCTCCGGGCTCGATGGACTCAAGGGAAGAGCTCACGGGGGACTTTCCAGTCTGCTACTAGATCACGTGACGGGCGCAATTGCTCATCATGAGACTGGGGAGCAAGCGATCCCACCTGTTACTGCAACTATGCAGCTGGATTATCGGGCGCCGATTGATACACCCGGTGTCATCCTGGCGCGAGCGTGGCCGGTGGAGAGGAGTGGGAGGAAGATGTGGGTCAAGAGCGTTTTGGAAGATGGACAGGGGAAGGTTTTGGTGGAAGCGAAGAGTTTGTTTGTTAAACCGAGGATGACCACGATGATGAAGATATAGAGGGCGAAATTGTGATTGCTCATCTATCTTGTTAGAGAATGGATATGTGTCTGTCGTAGTAGGAGGTACGACCAGTGCAGACTTCAGTAGAGACAATTACACGTTCGATGGCGTCCGTTGACATGACGCTGTCGTCAGTGATTTGTATTTAGTGATCACTGATCACAACGGCTGCAGCTGTGCTGCCAAGACCAACGTCTCTCCCCCTCTGCTCTATGTGCTGATGCCCGCTCTGTTCACTCTCTCCCCTCCTCATGGCGGATAGCGGATATATGGCGACGACGCTGTTGTCGATTCGAGGCAAACTGGTACAATCATCAACTCAAGAACAAATAAGAACAAGAGCAACAGAAACAATCACATTGTGGTCATCAACAGGTCCGGAACTTGCACTTGAAAACAGACTTTCGTCACTTTCGCTAGGCTACCACAAAGATGCTTTGCAGATTCCAGATTATCATTGTTTCCGACCCCCCCACGTGTTCTCTTTCTGAGAACCATCTTCCATCTGCTATCTCACTTTCAACATCGTCTCCAAGCGTCAAAGTGGAATCGCTAAACGGGCTGATTACTGTCCCTTTCCAACAAACAGAAGCACAACGCCTCGAGCAACGCTCCGCAGTTGTTCAACCATCCTTCTCGGGTTACGAGCGCGATCCCGCGTCCTGACGTGTGCTTATTTCCGGCGCTGGACCAAGAAAGACCGTTGTTGATCCCGACAGAAGATCTCTGCCACTCTCAGACCGGCCGTTCATGCAAGCTGAGGGCCCTGTTCAAGCATGAACTCCCAGCGGCCGCTGGCTACTGAAGGCAGTAGCAGCATCTCTAGCATGTCTGGTGAGAAACCCCCAGATCATACCGTGCACAGTGGCCCCACCTTTCATATGAGTGTACAACGTCAAGCTTACAAAGAAGCAGTGAGCAGTCATGGCGAAAGTCCCCTTCAGCCGTTAGGTCCACTTGCTGCTACTGATCTGCAACGGACGAAGAAGAAGCCTGGACCAAAGCGTGATAGCAAGCCTGCTCAAAATGAAAAGCTGGAGAGGAATCGCCAGGCACAGAGGTAAATGCTTCACTCTCGATTCGGACTAATGGTGTCTCTAATACTACACGGCAGGACACACCGCGAGCGAAAGGAACAGTATACGAAAGATCTTGAGATCGAAGTGATGCGTCTAAAAGAGCTCTTCGCTCAGGCGACACGCGAACGAGATGGTGCCATTCAGACACGAGACGCAGCTCTGGTTGAGCGAGACCAACTCCTCGAAGAAAACCAGCGAATGAGAGAGTACATCCAGCCGTCGAATTCCTCCAGCGGCAGAGACTCTGGTTATGACAGTATGTCCTGGACCTGCGACTCCGGAAGCAGTCACTCCGACACCTCTGGTCCGAATCTGACTGCTAATGCACCCCTCCAGGAGGTAGCAGATTCGCATATCGCCCTCCGCCGAGCTAGCACGCGGGACATGGCAGAGACACGAGGCTTCACTTTTGATATACCCCCATCGGACTCTTATACCATCAAAGTGGAAGACACGATGCAACGAGATCATTCCAATTCAGCAATAATAGCCCAGCTTCCGACGGAGCTGCCAGCCCCTCCTCTCGATTATGATGCACTCGGTCTCGATTTCGTTCTCACGTTAGTACTCTCCTCCAATACACACAACAACAGAGACATCCACCACATAGCAAAAAGCTAAACTCTGCCTTTCCTCCAGACTCGAAAGACCCTGCATGGGCCACATCCAATACTTGCACATCCGAGCCCACAACAACAATAACCCTCCTCCTCCTTCATCATCATCGTTACCATCATCATCATCATCATCAACAACAACAACGATCCCCCTCTCTCCCCACCTCCCCACCCCCACCCCTCCCGAGGACGTCCCCAACGACAACGAAAACCTCCACATCTCCGGCCACGCCCTCATGGCCACCGCACCCTCCTACACATCCATCATGCAGCATCATCAGCAGCAGCAGCATCCAGCATCAAAAACAACAACACCACCACCTTATACCCCCCAATTCCCTCCTTTCACTCAGCGCAAAGATTTAATCCATCTCCTCAATCTCAGCGCGAATTTACAAATCTGCGAACAAGAAGTCCCGCCTGTTCGTGCTTGGGTGAAATTAATGCAAAATCCACGTGTGCGGAATTCGTTTGGATGCGAGGAGTTGGAGGAGGTGAAGGAGTGGTTGGTTGGGAAGGTTTGTTGTTATCGGTATGTTTGGACTTTCTTTTTTTTTGCCGTCTTTGGTTTTGGCGCGGGGAGAAAAGGCGATGCTACTCTCTCTGTGTCCAATCAATCGATCGAATCAAATCTGAAAACACCCGATCTAACTTGTTTTTTTTTCTTTTCGAGGCAGATTCGGCGCTGTAGTCGATCAGAACGATATCGATGAGGCGGTCGCTCACGTTTGTCAAAAGCTCGAGGAGAAACGGGGTAGTAGTAATACAAGAGGAGGAGGAACAAGTAATAGTATTATTACTCAAACGTAAAACGTAAGAGGGTAGTAGAATAGCTATCGAAATGTTTTTATGGGGGGGGGGGGGGGAGGGGGGAGAGAGAGAGAGAGAGAGAGAGAGAGAGAGAGAGAGAGAGAG